ATAGACGAGGAGCACTGGACGGTTCTCCGTAGCGCTTTTTCAAGGAGTCGTCGCAAGATTACGAAGGTCCTCTTCGAAAGCAAACTGATCCTATTGCAATAGTCAAAGATGGAGTCACTCCTCGAATGTGGGCAGCATGGGTGGGTGATGCGCAATCAACGCGGATCTTCTTAGAACACGGCGCCGCTGTCAGTCAACTGGACGAGGAGCACTGGACGGTTCTCCGTAGCGCTTTTTCAAGGAGTCGTCACAAGATTACGAAGGTCCTCTTCGAAAGGAAACTGATTCTAATGCAGTAGACAAAGACGGCGACACTCCGGTAATGTTTGGCACCAATTCCACCTGGATGTCTGTGAAATTTGGAACGTTGAATTGCTTTTTATATTAAATGGCTTCCTTTGTAAAACCACAAAAAATTCAATATTGTACCTCACTGGTTTCCATCCTTGTACAAAGTGAAAGCCAACACTTCCTTCAATGACATACATAATATTTTGCAGGAAACCGCAGACGGCCTACCTCCGCATTCTTTTTGTACGAAGAACCCCAAACAGTATATATACTATGCTATCTAGAATCACAGAGTATAACCTTCGACCAAATCGTGGGCAGGCCATGCATAAAGCTTCGCTTACGGAACCGGGCTCGGTTAACGCTTATGTTTGTTACAGAGGACGTGATTGGTGTTCCCGGCGTCACGTGACAATAGCCGGTTTCAGCTTATGATTCCCATCACGATGAGGTTTTTGTCCAGTTTCCCTGATCCATTGAGCAAATGCTGAGATGGCCCCTTGTTTTGCTTCTGATCGTAAATGCAGTTTCACTGTGCGCACGTTTTGTTGAACTCTCCTTTTGCTTGTAATGGTAGTAGAGGTAAGAGCGAGTTCTTATTTTGTTAGCAATGCAGAAAAATCATACTTGCAATTCGTGTACCGATGCAAATACGTTTTCTATAACGCAGAAATAAAAAAGACTTTCTCAAATATTGCTGATCTTGCGATTTTTCAAATTTATTTTTATTTATGTTAAACTTTTACTCATCTTTCAACTATTTATAGTTTAAATGACGGGAAGGGATTCTGGATTTCAAGATAACGTGCGCAGATATTTGCCCCCCCCTACGTCAATACAGCTTTTACAATTTTTTTTTATTTGCCTATTTTTATTAGATTTATTCAGAGATAAATCTAAATTAAAAAAAACTGATTAAGCGTCGATGTGCAAAAACTATCCAGTTTTATATCAGTATTCTCTCTATTGTGGAACATCCGGATGAACTACATCGTACGTCATATCACGATAAAGCTGTACAGATTGAATATCTTGGACGCTTTTATATTTTGAAATTGAATGTTTTTCAACCCATATTGTCGCAAAATAAACAGGTTTCTGCCACTAGAATATTAACGTGCTGCATTAACGTCTGTGGCCCTACAACGTGTGTAAATGATATCCGTTAATGTGAGGACCATCGGTATCGACATTGTAGAAGTGAGTGATAGCAGATAACTTTTTGCGCTTCCTCTCTCAAAAGGAAACCAACGGATGTACGTCCTTCCACTATTGTACCGGCATCATCTAACGAGGATGTGACCGACATCTAGATCTCATAAAGTTATCTCTTTACCATTGATTGAATCAGTGTGATTGTCGAGTACTTAGAAAAAAGTCAATTGTGAACACATTGTTTAAGAAATTAATGTTTTAGATTATTGTTTTTATTTGTTAATAAAGTACATGTTTGACTAGAGTATGTACCATTAAGGACGTCATCTCGTGCATTTGTTCGTCTACCGTATCTTACGTGTATTTGTATTATGACGGTAATTGGGTGACTAATATTTTAGAAAAAAACTAACCTGAATTATACTCTTAATATCCAATTATTTGAAATCGCTATATTCAGATTCGTGAAATATTACGCAGGCCAAATTGATAATCTATGAATAAATCAAATGTATAATATAATGGGTACGTATGTACATTTGTTTTAAAACTCCCGTTTCACATTTGTCGTAGGCAGTAACGGTCTCTATTTCGTCCTTCAGCACCCTACGCTTCTGTTTATTACATCAGGAATCGTCGTTTCTCCGAATGCCTTTAGTGTTTGACGTTCTAGTATATTCAAATTTGAAATTCTTTGTGTTTGCCTCACTCCAATCATAATTCAACGTAATTCAATAAGAACGTAAGACACAAGAAGATAAAATAATACAGGAAGACTTAAAAGCATCAAACAAGAACACAAGAAGAATTAACGAGAAAATCGCTGGACTACGCCGACCCAGTTGGACTAAGAACTGCGAATTGTGACTAAGAATTGTATTGTGTGATTGTTACTTGAGCAAGCTTACCATTCTTTAGCAGAAAATGGTTATTCTTTTCCCCTGTATCTCGAGGCCTTTGTCCTTAAAGAGTGTATAATGGACTAAATATAAATAAAACAACAAAATAGTTGTATGTCTTTTAATCACTTTTTACTTTCTCGTATATACGTACGACGAATATACGGAGTAATATACGTCGTATAGAAGAAGTTATGTATTGCTGCAGAAAATCGATTTCGAGAGTTCAACAGAAATAAACGTTTTGGAGTCCCCTGATAACGAGATAGTGTTGTTTGTTTTTCAACACATCATTTCCTCTCATCTGTCTTTGAACAACACTAGGGCCAAACCTATTAATAGTATTTTTTCCAAAATTGATCTTCCTTGGTCAATCTTGCTCGACTCCAAGCTCTGAGGTTTTGAAAAACATTCATTAATTTTTGGGGGTACTTTACATGACGCCCCTGCGATATTTTCAAACTTTTCTCAAAAATAGTTCCAAATTTGTGACACATCCAGACTTAAAGACTAAAGTGAGATACACCTATAAAGATAGCTTAGTTACAATCTTTTAATTATCACTGTTAATTTAATAAAAAATTCGGCGTCTTCCTACAAGTACAATATTGAAGAAAGCCATTTTTCCTTCTAATGAAATGTGTTCTCCATAATTAGTTTCATTAATATCATGTACATTTTTTAAACATTTTAGATATTTGGGGCAATTTACGTAAAATATGAACAATATTAAAATATCAAAATGAAGAATGTTTTAAACACTGCTCCAAATTTTTCTTTAATCTTTCTTTGGTAGGTTAGTGTTAAACGTACAAAAACAGATGACATAAATGCCAATTTACTCGATTCCTTTGTCGTTGTTATTTTTCAAAAATTACATAATTGTAATTTTTTTACTTCTCTCTCACGTCGTTACTATTTACATTAAAGGTGATTTGAGCAAATTATTGAGTTTTTTTAAAACACGTGCTTCAAATTGGGTCTTATAGAACTCAAAAGTTCTTTGAGTTGCCGGAGATGATGTTTATTTCAGGTCTACCCGAAAATTCGGATTAGGTTTGGGAAATCCGAGCAGCAATGATGAAGATTAAGGTTTAAGGGCACTTCAATATCTAGGATCATTAGCGCCCTTGTCAAATTATCGTCAGGATGTTTATGCATTGTGGCATATCCAAGCTTAAACACTTTATAAATACAAAGTAAAATGGATAAAGAAAGCCAGCATTGTACACTTTCTAAGGGGAAATGAGAGATACGACAAAAAATAGCCCAAGCGAATACTTCACAATTTAGTGATTAAAAGGCATGTTAATTAGTACTAGGTGAACACGTCCCAAAATTTCGTACATTTGTGCACGTACTGAAATACTATCATTTGTAAACTTCTATTCAATTCTTTAAAGATAAGCTTTTAAATATTCTGCGAAAGCACTATAAGAGAAAGTAAAATAATGAAAAGTTAATAAATAATTCGATCCACCGGAGGCGGCTGCTTTCGATACAGCGCGTTGTTGCCAGCGCTACTTTAAAGCAACAATGGGAGTTTATTTGGGATAAGCATTTTACAACACAGTAACACTGATAGCGTTTGCAAGCAAATGCAAATAGTTCGAAGAATGCAGAATAATTATTAAATACTGAAGTATTGTAATATTATCCAAATCTTCTCCTTTTTACACGAATTACACGTTATGTTCTGTCTGAACATGTAATGCTAAATGCTCCATACGGTTTTAGACTGTAATGGATCATAAATTTGTGATTTAAAATTTCTAATAATTAACCACTTTCCTGGTTCACCACACACTTGAGCGAGTCAAAATCTGTAAACTAATAACAATTTATTACGTTACGCTAAGTTAACGCTCCTACAGTACAAATTTATAAATTGTATGTGAATTCGCGAAGTCACACCTGTGCAGGAAACCGAAATATAATCATATTGATTTGGGAACCTAGGTCTCTGTGTTCCTTCTCCTATCATTGGGTTTATATTACCTGCTAATATATACACACACATTTTAACAATGCCAACAATATGAGCAGCAATTATTTATTGACAAACCCCTGATTTCAAACTTTTACACGGCGAATTCTGCACTCCGCCGTATATACACCAGCTTTCTATAGTACCAAAACATAACATGACACATACTACAATTTACCCTTTAAATATAACAACATACCAATTCAATAACACTCACTCATTCATACATTTTTAAGCTGCATTCATTAATTCGAGTACACTCGTTTTGAAAATTAAAAAAGAAACTCTAATGGCCGTTACTAATAATTACTTAGTTGGGTACAATCTTGGACTTATTATAAGATTGTTGCAAACTTACGTCACCTCCATGGTTGCTGGACCCTGTAAAATGGCGCTGTCTCCACTGCTGCGATTATTTGCGCCTTCTCGTCGCGGGTGGCATCCTTTTCTTTTCAAACTCCAAATCGAAACATTCTCGGACAATATTCCTTACTACGGAACACCACTCTACTCTATCCTACCACCCTTCCAACCAACTTTTACATGCAAAACTCCAGATTTCACTTCTGCTCCAATGTCAGCACCTGGTCAGCACTACCAAATCGCCAACCCGTCTGTCTATATGCATTGTTGTACACCTTTCTTCTCGTCGCCCAGTTTTAAAACAAAGGAAAGCTCTTCCTTTCTGTCAAACTCGCTGTAATTTGTAAATTCAAATTTTAGATGTCTTTTGGTGTGCACAATGTTTTTATTGTAATACTTTCTAATTAAACTTCAAATATTAAATTTAATTACCCTTCCCCTTTTACAAATTTCTAATATTTTATTGTTTAAACATTTGTGTAATCGCCCATTTCTTATATCTTTCACTTGTCTTTTCCAAACATACGAACATTCATTCATTTAATAAAAGATTTTCATTATTATATAATAACCCAAAGTTCGAGTGACTGTTTATTTATTTATTTATTTATTTATTTATTTGTTTATTATTTGTTTATTTGTTTATTTGTTTATTTATTTGTTTATTTATTTATTTATTTGTTTATTTGTTTATTCTATTATTAGTTTATTCGTTCATTCGTTCGTTCGTTCATTCATTCATTCATTCATTCATTCAATCATTCATTCATTCATTCTTCCTAGGTCCACTATTATCCGCGCACGTTTTCTTGAGCCCTCGCTACGCTAGAGGCGAGAGGAGTGGGGAGTTTGGCTATTTTGACAAAAGGAAAATTACGTGGAATTTATAATTTATGTTTCCACGTAAAATAGTTTTTAATACACAGGAGCGAACATTCATCTTCACCAGATTTTGTCTACAATGCTCATTGCTATCATTTATTCTCAATGCAACCAGGGCCGGATTTAAGTAGTGCGGGGCCCCAAGCACAACATTGTGTTGCCCCCCCACACTCACACACAAAAAAATCCGTTCCGTTTTAGCATTTCATCTTACACATTGTTTGAGACATAAATTTCTATTTGGTCTATA